TCCCCCCAGCCCGGTGTGGTTGTGTGGGAAAATTCGGGGGAGTTAAAGCCCACACGTCTTAAAGTTCCTGAGGTTGAGGAACACTGTTTTAAGGTGGAACCATATATTTTAATGGGGATCTTGTAAAACCTTTGAACAGGGCACGCTCTCTCAGCCTGGCCTTCCTTGCAGGGCTCTTGTGTGGTGCAGCCGTAGCTCTCAGCCACTGGCAGTCTAGGTGGGACACCAGGTAAGCCCCTGAACTTTAATTGAGCCTCATTGCCGATGATAAATATATCAATAAACGGCTTTCTTGGAAGAAGAGGCCCTTTTAGGTTTCCATCTGGATAGGACCCAGGTTCTTTGACGGAGTAACTAGTAAGACCTGAAATGAAAGACTCAGAAACATACAGGACAGGAATTCTGCCTGTATTTATCTGGGAATCCCATTTAATTCAGAATCAAACATCCCACGGGACTGGCTGCTTTTAAGTCTGATTTAAACATGCCCTGATTATCAAAGCACTGAAATGGAAAACAGAAACTTGAGAATAAAAATATATATTTTTTAAAACCCACCCACAAGCAAAACCACAGTCTATCGTTTGGGAGCCTATTATGGCGCACAACCACTGTCAGTGCGTTTCTGTGTTTCCGATTTCAAGTATTTCCTCAGTAAAGGCAAAGTGTGGGGTGGTGGAAGGCAGGGACATCGGAAGGGGGATCCAAAAAGTCAAGAGGAGGGTTGCGATTGTGTGCATCACATCTGAAAAAGGGGCAGGGCTTTAAATGTGTGGTCTCTTGATGTCCTTGCAGATGCTCTTGCTGAAGGACGGGGCAAAACCAAATCGTAATTCCTGGTTCATCAAAAAAAAAAAATGGTGAATTGCAGCTCCGGGAATGCTTTCGATACCAAGCTGATGCTAAATCAAGTCGCACGGGATGGTCTCACGCTTCCTCCAAGGACATTTCCCAATGTTTGGGGCAGGCCACCCTCTGCACATCTGCCACGCAGCCTCTGTGAAGAGCAAATTGATGTTCTACAACAGGCAGAGAACCCTCATTACCAGCTCAGCTTTCCCCAGCCTGGAGTCCTTCTTTTGATTGGTTGGCCCAGAATTCCCAGGGTCCACAGCAGTTTGCACATAAAAAACTTCCATTGCACAATCCTGGATGCCATCTTGACTTTTTTGACCCCCTCTGCGCCACTCGCTTCGTTCAAAAGGGGCAGCGTTTTGATCATGCCATTGCGGCAACTGTCTTGAGTGCTTTGATCTCCCCCCACTTTGAGGACGCTCCTGCAGTGGTGGAAGGGACACCCTGCTGGAATCTCAGTGAGTAAAAATACACACACGACCTGTCTTCGAATGCTGCATTTCTAAGTGGGAAACTACTGTGCAAGCCATCGCAAGATGCTGGGCTATCATGTTTTAATTTATAAATGTCCAAGAGCCGCTTAATTCAAAAGCCACCAGTCAGAATTGGCTCCCTCTCCAACTGGCATCGTGTTTAGAGGAACGAAGTGGGAGAACAGAAGCAGGTCGGAAGGATTTTCGAGCATCTGGCTGTTGCCACAGGTGCCAAAGAAAGACGGGCATGGCTTGCTCCCTTTGCCTGCGGAATGCCGCCCTCCAGCCATTGAATCTTCCAGTGAGTTGGCGCTCCCTCCTCCCCTGAGCAGCAACTCCAGCCAGCATGGTCCATGGTGAAGGCTGCTGGGAGTTGTAGTTCAACCCCTTGGGAGGGAGAGATGGATTCCCCACCCTGGCTAGGGTGGAAAATGAGGAGCCTCTCTCCCCACCCTTGCAGGAAATAACTGCAGGATTGAGGTGCTCTGCAACACCATGATTGACCCAGCCTGCCACCAGTCCAATCCATAAACTTGGAGCTCTGGCTCTACGCAGTCATATCCGCTAGGTCAAAAATGACTCCTTAGGGAACAGAGTCCTTGCCATTTTCTCTAGGAAGGGCCTGGTATCCCATGAGCCTTTGTGCAAAGAGAGTACTGGTAGCCCCTTCCCCATTTGTCCACCGGGCTTGGGTGCTGCACCCAGCAGCATTGGGGAGGGGGGGTGTTCTGCACTGCCAAGCCTTGCATTCTGTAATAGGAGGGCTGCTTTTCTTTTCTTTTCTCCAGCCACTCTAGTGCTCTGGCTCTTTTTCTTGGAGGACTAAGTATGCAAATGAGCCATTTGACTGGGTGTATGCTTTCCTACATGAAAGTTGACTTCATGGAGTTAGTTTAACCCTGTGCATGAATGCTTCTATTTAGGGCTAAATTAGCCCTGTGAGGTTAATTGAGGCCAAATGACCCCTGTTAGGTGTTCCCACAAAAAGTCCCACCTCCGTGACCCAGTTAAATTTGTTGTGGGAACAAGGCCACACTGTGTAGGTGTGATGTTCAGCTGGGTTTACAGCATGCTACTTCACAGTTTACTAAATAAACCAGTTAGGTGGAGTCATACAACATACTATTTGGAAACCATGTTTTGCAAACCATCAAGACTGGTTCACCCAACACACTAAAGTAGAAATAAGCAGATTCTGTTTTGGTTTAATACTGTAAATGCAGCCACTGACTCTTCACATTGGATGGGCTGTCAGGATTTTTAACCATGGTTTGATGTCTAAACTTCATTTGGTGTAGCCTGTGTATGACCCATACCACCCAATTCTGTTATTCAGCAAACCATAGTTAATCCAACAATGGTCCAGTGCAAAGTATAATCTCAGCCAGTGTGCATCTGAAAGGAACAAATGGGGTGTGCCTATACAACATGCTAACCTGGTTATTGAATCAGCCCATTTTCTGAATCACAAACTAACCCAACAGCCTTAGTTCACTCTAGCATGTTAAGCCAGAAAAAGAAGTCAAGTTTAATACAAACTAAGGTTAATACACAGTCTAACATGTTTAAGTGTATTGAACTTAGCCAAATTTCCCAAATCAGGGTTTCTCCACCATGGGCCCACCCCAGAAGCTCCGTTGGGACTTCTTTTGCATCTTTTTGGAAAGCTGTTCCGAAGAGTCTTCAGGTTCTCATTTGCTGGCAAGTAGATGAGGGTTGGTGTCTGGGGTATCTTTATTATTACTTTATTACCCTATTAAATTACTGCTTGCTGGTTTATTGATTTTATGTTGGATTTAGATTTTACTGGATGTTGGGTTTTTTTTTTTTTTTGCAGTTTATGCTGTTGTGAATCAGTTCAGTTTGACAGGATATAAATATAATTCCCAAAAAAGCAAATAAATAAAATCAAGGCAGCAGCTCGTAGATTTCAGGATGGATCTCTCCGTTACTTGTGAGCAAATGAAAATGCCATATACTGGATTGGGACCCTGGGCAGGGAAAGCATGAATGTAACCCCTGGTTGAATGAGAGCCAGTTTGGTGTACTGTAGTGGTTAAGGAGCAGGGCTAGAAACCA